TGACCAACTCGTATACCAACTTTGTCACTCCATTCTACTACCAGTTAAAGAACGCAACCTTTTTTGACGCCATTATACACAGGGAATGGTTGAGACTTCTCTCCATTTTCCCGAATCCTAGTCTGCATACCATCGTGGAATAGCCGCACCATTGAAATTAATTTTTTGGGGGCATCCATATTTGCCCATGATCTTCTAGAGACCTTCTCTGATGACAGTTTCAACTATATAGGTTGAGAATTTGTTTCCTGAAACTTTTCCTGCAGCTTCCTGGCCACGAACACCATGTCGATAGCTCAGCACTCTTTGCGCAAACCGCATTGACTTTCTGGCAGTATAGACCTTTCTCAAGATGCGAATTGAGGCGTCTTAATAGGATTCCTGCAATAGAGGGCAAAGATATGCCATAGAAGAACATAGAGTGAAAGTGATTATTATCGTGAACACATGCTAGGACAGCGGTTCTCAACCTGTTGGTCGCGACCCCTTTGGGGGTCGAATGACCCTTACATAAGGGTCGCCTAAGACCATCGGAAAACACATATTTATGAAGTACCAACGAAGATAATTTTATGGTTGGGAGTCACCACAACACGAGGAACTGTATTAAAGGGTCGCGGCATTAGGAAGGTTGAGAAAAACTGTACTAGGGCAAGGAATATTTCTGAATGATCAAGTCAGCTGTGATTGGAACAACTGGACACTGCAACAGGGCGGAGCTTCTTCAAACGCGGCAAGAAAACAATCAACTTTCTTCAACGGGAGAATGTGACCTTCATCATACCAGACATGTGCCTATGCACCCCCCCCCCGCAACCCCAAATCCCCCGGACCAAAACCCGATAGATAATGTTATTTGGTCCTCCCTCAGACAGAAATGTCTACCGTCCGGGAAAATATACAACAATACGGAACATTTAAATGGGACATCGTTCAGGAGTGGCAAAACATGGAGTCATGTTCTATAGACAGTATCATTGATCGGTGACGTAGCCGGTAAAAAAAAAAAATATGTTGAGAACTGAGGATTACACATTGATTTTTTTTTTTTTAAATTTTAAAGTTAAATGTTACCAGCAGCAAAAATGACCTGAAGTTGTTCAAGTCGGCCCACTTTTTATGCCCACCCTTTTTTATTGCAAAACATGGAGTCATGTTCTATAGACAGTATAATTGATCGGTGACGTAGCCGGTAAAAAAAAAAAAATATGTTGAGAACTGAGGATTACACATTGATTTTTTTTTTTAAATTTTAAAGTTAAATGTTACCAGCAGCAAAAATGACCTGAAATTGTTCAAGTCGGACCACTTTTTATGCGCACACTTTTTTATGCGCCACTTTGTAGATTCTCACCAAATGCAGTGAGCATGTGTCGATTAGCTCAGGGTCGCCCAACCTATAAGTTGCTCGCACTCCCTTGAGAAGGAGTTTTAGGGGATGCGAGGAAAAGTGGTAAAAAAAAACACAGAATTTTCATCTCTCCGTTAACATGTAAATTTATGTAATAATTTAATTAGAATTAATTTTGTTTTCTAATTATTTTTTTAATCCTTTTTTTTTTTTACTTTAGTAAGGTTTCTTCGACTTGGTTCAACAATTCANTTTTTTTGGGGGGGGGGGGGGGGGAGGAGAATAGGCCTATAGAAAATATTGGGGGAATCCCTGATCTAATCGGAGAAAAATATACCTCACTGTCCCACTTTAAACCAGTAGTCACGTATACAAGTTAAAAGAGACATGGACTTTTGCCAAGAGAGTCGAAAAATGGCTTAAAATGTGGTCAAGGTAAATTGTCATAAAGATATAAGGGCCTACACAGGACAACTGTAGATTAGGGTGACCAAATCATGATTTGGAAAAAACGGGACGCTTTCAAGGACGTTGTTTTGTCGTTGTTGTTGGTTGGTTTGTTTTTTGGAGGGGGGCGAGGGGGGTGGTGGGGGGGGGGAAATACCCTCCCTTTAAATAGGGGTCTGAGGGCCTCGGCCGGGATCATAGTGAAATATGATGATTTTAACTATGAAATCTAACCTAGAAATCTACTTGGGGCACTCAGTCTTTTCCTAT